ACGAATCCCTACTAATGCACTGTCCGCTTGTGTGTCAATTCTAACTACCAGGCACCTTGGCCTTGTTCTTCTCCTCCCACTGCTTGCGGTGGCCGGGAGGAAGCACAGTTGCGCCAGTGCCCTTGCGGATCTGTCCGCGCACGGCGCCCGCGGGGAACGCCGGGGTCGACACAACCACGTAGAATTTCTCGGGGTTCACCATCACTTTCGCGAACGCCGTCGAAAGCGCTTCGCCAGACGCCGTTTTCATGTTGGCGACGTCTTCCCACACGCCGGTCGTCGCATAGCTGAGATAATTCTCCGGCGACGCAGCGCCGCTCTTCGAGCTAATGCCCGTGGTGTTCACCCATTTCGCTCCCGCGAAGCTGATCACCGCCGGCCCCGTCGCATCGCTGGCGGCCATGTTGATCGTCGCGCCGGTGGGCAGACCCGCGACAGACAGCTTCCGCACGGAGACGATATACTTGATGTTCACCACTTTGCCGTTCTTATACACCGTCATGATCGCGTTGCCCGCCGCGTTCGCGTCGCCGGGTGCGGCGCCAACGACGGACGACCCGCGGAGAACGGTGCCCACCTGCATCACCTCGCGCCCCAGCGGCTTCCCCTTGTGCTCCGCCCCCCCGGGGACCGGCGCGGGGTGCGCCTTGGGCGGTCCGCGGAGTGCGCCTGCGCCGCCTGCTGTGCTCTGCTTGGGCGCGCCAGGGCCCTTCTGCGTTCCGCCGGGGGTCTTTCCCTTGGGGGTGGGCGCGGTCGTCACTACGGGGCTGGTGGCTTTCGCGTTCGGCGCGGCGGCGATGCTGGCGATCTTCGCGGTGCGCGCGGCAGTTCCGGGGAGGGGGGTGTCTTCCACCGTCTGCGGCTCCACCGCGGGCACGGCGGGGGTCGCTTCTTGGAGCTTTCGAGCGTCTACTGCTAGGCCTGAAAAATGGAGGAAGGGAAGGGGAGCAGCGTTAGATTAGATTTGAGGGAAGGGAATACTTGTCGAATCTGGAGGAGGATACTGCTGAAAGTATTGACAGAGTAGTTGGATTTTGTGAAGTGAACGAGGCAGAAATGCGCCAGGACTTCGGATGTTTACAGGTAGTGAAGACTTACATGAGATGGCGAAAATCGCCAGAAGCGCTGTCAGGAAGCGAGTGGTCGACATTGGTTCGGTAAGTGGTTTGCGAATACTAGTGCTCGACTACTTGATTGTACTCTGATTCGGAGACCTTGTTCGTGGAATTTCGATTGAGTGTTGAAGGCCTGGAATTGGAGAGAGGAACGAGTGAACTGTTGGGAAAAGGTGAGAAGGTGGACGCTTTTATGGGAATCTCTGCGAATGTTTTAATGTCGTGGCATGTGAAAGTTTGGGTTGGGATGGGAAGTCATTTTTCACGCACCGCGACATTTGAATTTTCGGAAATGCGGTTCGTTGAGAGTGTAGCGGGATTCGGTGATTGAGCGGTCAATTTTCGAAATATGAGGAATTTTCGCTGTGGTGTAAAACACTTGAGGAATTTCCCCCTTCCAAAGTTGTCAGAAGCTGACGGAAACTCTCGGTGCTCCTGCTCGCTCCAAGTTTGACGCAGGGCAGGGGAGATAGACGGAAATCTTGTCATCAGACCCTCCAACGGGTCCATAGCAGTCAAATCCTCCGGCCAACGTTTTTCAGCCAACGGAAACTGTTCCAGAACAAACCCGTGGGAGGGAGGTTCAATCAAACGTTCCCCCGTAGAGCTGGACGAAGGTGTAGCCGCTCAAGTTACTCGATAATACCGACGGATCTGCGTTCGCCGACGATTTCGTCACAGACCGCTCAGCAGCAAAATGGACGGTGCGAAGAAATACGTCAAACGGGATACCAGTCACCTTGCCCACTCTTGCTCTCAGTCGGTGACGAAAAACTTCGCGCACAAATATCTGCCCGGGCCGGGAGGCCAGAACACCGACCCCAGTTACCCGCTCTCTCTTCCGTAGATCGGTGAATTTGCTTTTGCATGGACTCTGTCGAGCCGCATTTCTCGACCTTCCAATGTCGCGGTTTGGCTCCAGACTTTTCCCTCCCCAACGTTGCGACACGGGTTGACACACAACTACAAAACCCTAGACTTGCTCATCATTCTCACTCACCAATCATTCAGCTTCCGACAACTTCAATCCACATCGTAGCTTCATTCTCTACATCTCTACAACTCCACACAACCCTACAACCTGCTGGCTCGAAGTTTTCCAGTTACGAGCGTTCCATTCTCCCTCTCGACCACTTGACGCAATGTCGACAACTCGCTTCCTCTCCGTGCTCTTGGCGATTCTCGCCTTGTCATGTAAGGACTTCTCTCCCAACATTCCTACTTTCAAGTTGTTCTCTCGCCTCATTGAAACACCGATTAAGTGTGTGGTATTCCATGTAGCTCCCGTATGACTCTTATTCCTCCTCCACCCTTTTTCTGTCCTTCAGGCCTAGCGGCAGACGCCCGAAAACTACAAGAAGCGGACCCCGCAGTCCCGGCAGTGGAGCCGCAGACAGTGGAAACCACCCCCCTCCCCGGAACTCCCAAGCTCGCGAGCATCGCCGTCGCGCCGAACGCGAAAGCGAGCAGCCCCGTAGTGCCCACGACGACCGCGCCCACCCCCAAGGGGAAGGCCCCCGGCGGTAAGGTCGCTCCCGCCGGCGGAAAGCAGCAGGGCCCTGGAACGCCCAAGCAGGGCGCAGCAGGCGGCGCAGGAGCGCCCAAGACGCACCCCGCGCCGGTCCCCGGGGGAGCACAGCACAAGGGGAAGCCGCTGGGGCGCGAGGTGATGCAGGTGGGAACCGTTCTCCGCGGATCGTCTGTCGTGGGCGCTGCGCCCGGCGACGCGAACGCGGCGGGCAACGCGATCATGACGGTGTATAAGAACGGCAAAGTGGTGAACATCAAGTATATCGTCTCCGTGCGGAAGCTGTCTGTCGCGGGTCTGCCCACCGGCGCGACGATCAACATGGCCGCCAGCGATGCGACGGGGCCGGCGGTGATCAGCTTCGCGGGAGCGGAATGGGTGAACACCACGGGCATTAGCTCGAAGAGCGGCGCTGCGTCGACGGAGAATTATCTCAGCTATGCGACGACCGGCGTGTGGGAAGACGTCGCCAACATGAAAACGGCGTCTGGCGAAGCGCTTTCGACGGCGTTCGCGAAAGTGATGGTGAACCCCGAGAAATTCTACGTGGTTGTGTCGACCCCGGCGTTCCCCGCGGGCGCCGTGCGCGGACAGATCCGCAAGGGCACTGGCGCAACTGTGCTTCCTCCCGGCCACCGCAAGCAGTGGGAGGAGAAGAACAAGGCCAAGGCGCCTGGCAGTTAGAATTGAAACAAATGATAACCCTAAGGCAGACGTCGCGGGGAGTCTTCGATCTCCCCGCAATTAGGTGGTTTCACACGTAGGAAAAGAACTCCTAACTTGGGCCACGCTAGTCAGCCACTCGGCTTCAGGCGTGTTTCCTCTGATTTGATATATGAATAGGATTCGGATGTGTGTGGCAAAAATAGACGGCATGCCATTTTGCCAATATCCGTGTCATGATTCGTTGATAGTTTTGACGACAGCATCATTTCAAGTGCTTTCACGTGACGTCCCCATCAAGCTGTTGGTCAGAGCGTTTCATTGTATAGCTTTCTGCTCTGGCAACACCAGCAGCTGAGCGCATGCTCAAGATATCCATGCATCCCATGAGCCCGCATTAACCTAATGCTGCATGTCAAGAAGCTGCACACAACACACATACGGTATCTAACCACTTGCAGCCATCATTCAAAGAAGATAGTGCTGGCGTAACTGGAGTGTGTGTGTGTCTCTCTGTTTGTGTGTGCATGCTAGCATGGCTTTGGATTTTCCCTGCACCTCAGTTTACCGTCTATTGTATAGCACTCCTGTTGGCAACTTGTGCACAACAATGAAAATAAGGCCAAGATGATGCCGACATCAGTTTTAATAAGCGTGATGATGTAACTAGAGTAATTTTCCGTTCTATATTTTCACTCAATGAAGAGAATCCATGCGCTGCCAGTATGTACAGTGTAGGCTGAATCATACTGAATCATGTACAGTTTGTTGGTCATTCAGATTGTTCGGTATAACGAAGCCGACATAGTTGTCAAAACGCGTGTTTTCCAAAAACCACAAGGAAATCGCACCCAGAACATTCTCAAGGTTCGATTCATCGGCCCCTTTCGCATGCCAGTCGTTCTTCTTTCGTGGCCATCGGGATTCACGAATCTTCGGTTGACGACAGGCAAGATAACTGACTGACAGTGCGACAGACTTGAAATCAGCAACACGCAAAGCTTACGAATCTCTCCGCGAATCACGGCCTCGCGGCGCCGAGAATGGTGCTTGCGTTTCCGCGCCACATCTCCGCGGCCCCTCACCACCACGTCCCCATCCGACGCGCTGCCACATATCACGCTCCTCGCGTTTCCCGCCAAGTCGTTTCCCCTACGGCCTCTCTCGTCGTAAAGGTTCCCGCAAATCGCGCTCCCGCTGCAGCCGCCGGATTTAGCGCTACAGTCGGATTCGCAGCGTCGCGTGTTTTCGGGTTACCCGGTTCGCGCGCTCTGCTCGCGTCGCAGCGCGCGACAGCCGGTAGCTGCGCTACAGCCGGAGCAGGCTCGCGCACCGCGGGGAGTGGCGGCGCGTTGGGGGTGAGAATGGTGCTCACCGAGTCGCAGCCTCTCGCTTTAGGCACCCGAGCGCCGGATTTCACGGTAAGTTACCAGCTAGGACGAATAGATTGCTCTTCTTCAAGTACACACACTAACGATTTAGTAACTCATATAGAAATTTGCAGATGCAGTTTGTATCGAATGTCGAGCGATGCAGCTGAATCCTGCAGCTATTATTTTATGGTCCTATGCACAGGAGGCAGCAAGGCATGCGAGAGACATGCCCCGATTGCTGACGCGCGCGTGCACTCTCCGACTTTACATGCGTGTGTGATTGTATCCCCGTGTGACTGTACACGCGATGTGACAATACCTATGTGCATAATGTACCAGCTAGTGGAGCCGCTGACCGGCAAGACATGGTCTCTCTCCGACTTTGACGGCCACCCGGCTCTCCTCGTAAGTCCTCCTTTCCTCCTTCCCATTTCTCCCCGCCTCCTTCTCTTCCCCTCCTTCTCTCTCCCAACCCTCTCTCCCACCCCTCTCCCTCCTCCGACTTTGACGGCCACCCGGCCCTCCTCGTAATGCCACCTCCTTTTGAGTAGCAATGGTTCAGTGAGCCCCTTTTGAAAATTCTCAAGATCCTTCTTTTGGGTAGCTATGGTTAATGAGCACACCTTCTCCCCTCTCAGTCCAATTCCTCCTCCTTGTGAACACCGCGCCTCCCAAGTCATCTCCTCCGGAATCAATGCCCTTTTGTGGTTCATACAGACTCATTTCCTTCCTATTCCACTTCCCCCTCCCCCCTCCACCGTCTTCCACCCCTCTTTACCCCTTCCCCACCTTCTCAAACCGGACACTGTCAGGTCATGTTCATCTGCAACCATTGCCCGTTCGTGGTTCATATCAAGTCGCAACTTGTTGCTCTTGGCAACGAGTACATTTCCAAGGTACACTTTTGAGCTACATCTTCAAGTTACATCTCCAAGTTACATGTCCGAGTTACTCTTCCACACGTCCTCTCGCCTCCAATTCTCTTCAGCATGGGCTAGGAGTGGTTGCCATGCCAACTCGTCCCACTCGGCCCCCACACCCACTCGGCTGCTCCTTCCCCTTGCTTGCTTCCCGCCCTTTCTCTTGTTGCTCCCCATACATCTTCCATGCAGCATGGGCTAGCAGTGGTTGCAATCTCGTCCAACTCGGTGCTCACCCACCCTCAGGTAAGCCGTGCAACCTACCGAAAGTTGTGATGGTCGTGAATACAGAATGCTATGACGCACCATGCTTCACAATAGCCTCGAGATGACGTGTCAGTCGTTCCTCGAATGACCGTGAACCAGGTCACCACTCTTTGTCTCTCAACTTGCGTTCTTATGCTCCTCAATCTCCCCTCTACGCATTCTACTCAACAACAGGACGGACCTGACAGAATGGCAGAGGAAGCCAAGCAGTTCAACTTCCCCTTCTGCTTTTCAATTTCCTCTTTCCTCCTGGCTCCACGTCCCCTCTGCTGCACCCCTCTCCTCCCTCTACCCCGCATCAGGACGGACCCGATAAAATGGCTGAGGAAGCCAAGCAGTTCAACTTCCCCTTTCCCTACCTCTATGACGAGGTGCGTCTCACCCACCCTTCATCTGACAGTTCATCTCACAAAGTGGCTGTTTAACCTGAGTGTTTTTTAGAATCTAGCAGTTCAGCTTCCCGTTCCCCTACAGTTCATCTCACTAAGTGGCAGTTGAACCTGAGTCTTCTGTGACCACCAAGCACTTCAGCTTCCCGTGCCCCGACAGTTCATCTCACTAAGTGGCAGCTGAACCTGAGTCTTCTGTGACCACCAAGCACTTCAGGTTCCCGTGCCCCGACAGTTCATCTCACTAAGTGGCAGCTGAACCTGAGTCTTCTGTGACCACCAAGCACTTTAGCTTCCCGTGCCCCGTCAGTTCATCTCACTAAGTGGCAGTTGAACCTGAGTCTTCTGTGACCACCAAGCACTTCAGCTTCCCGTTCCCCTACCTCTATGATGGGGTGGGTTTCACGCTTCCCTTTTTGGGAACTTCAGAAAGGTACTGTACTGCAAGAAAGACTTTTGAGGCGCCTCAAAAGAAACTTTAGAAAGGTACTGTACTGCAAGAAAGACTTTTGAGGCGCCTCAAAAAAAACTTTAGAAAGGTACTGTACTGCAAGAAAGACTTTTGAGGCGCCTCAAAAAAAACTTCAGAAAGGTACTGTACTGCAAGAAAGACTTTTGAGGCGCCTCAAAAAAAAGTTTAGAAAGGTACTGTACTGCAAGAAAGACTTTTGAGGCGCCTCAAAAAAAACTTTAGAAAGGTACTGTACTGCACGAAAGGTAAGCCCCATACCGGCGATCTGTTGCTTGTCCTGCTGTGCTGCGAATCCGCTTAATTCAGGCAGCTCAGCTTCCCCGTCCCCTACCTCTATAATAATGTGAGTCCCATGGCCTTTAACCCACTCATCTTCCCCCGCCCTAAACCTCATGTGTCTTGCCCCTGCCGCGCCATCACGCTGCCTGCACGCCAGACTTCTTTCACTTCAACAAGGACAGCCACCGCCCGTTCGAGCTTGCATATCACGGCCAGCTCGACAAGGTTTTCTTACCTTTACCTTTCCCTTACCAATCAACCTTTCCAATCCCACTCTCCCCCATCTATCAGACTCAAGAGGTGGCCAAGGCTTACCATGCTGCCTGCACTCCAGACTTGTTCCTCTTTCAAAAAGGATGGTTGTCCTTCCCGATCACCCGACCTCCTTTCCCCTGCAAAACCCCACCCTGCAGACTCAAGAAGTGGCCAAGGCGTATCATGCTGCCTGCACGCCCAAAGTCTTTCTCTTCAGAAAGGACGGCCGCCGCCCGTTTGAGCTGGCATACCACGGGCACACCTCATAGCCCTCTATGCCCCATGCCCTCCCCACCTCCCCTCCCCCCGTATCTCTTGCCCATCTATCAGACGCAAGAGGTGGCCAAGGCCTACCATGCTGCCTGCACGCCGGACTTCTTTCTCTTCAAGAAGGACGGCCGTTCTCCCCTCTCTCCTACCCTTCCACCAGACTCAGGAGGTGGCCAAGACCTATCACGCTGCCTGCACGCCAGACTTCTTTCTCTTCAAAAAGGACGGCCGCCGCCCCTTTGAGCTCGCATACCACGGCCAGCTCGACGACTCCCGCCCCAACAACGGCCGCCCGGTCACCGGCAAGGACCTGCGTGCTGCTCTCGACTGCGTGCTCTCTGCACGACCGGTCCCCAGTGCGCAAAGGCCCAGGTGAGCTTCTTGATGGCAATGCAAACCCAAGGGCATACCACGGCCACCTGTACGACTTGCTCCCCTCTAATGGCCGCCCAGTCACCAGGAAAGACTTGCGTGCTGCACTGGATTGTGTGCTCGCTGCACGACCGGTCCCCAGTGCTCAAATGTCCAGGTGAGCTTACCTTTACCCACCTTTACGTTTGGGATCGTTCTCTGCTCACCACCAAGGACCTGCGTGCTGCTGTAAATTGTGTGCTGTCGGCAAGACCCGTTTCCAGTGCCCAGAGGCCCAGGTAAGCTGTCCGGTAGCAAGGTAGGTAGGGGTCTAAGAGCCCACTCATCACCCCTCCAACGGCCGCCCTGTCACCAGCAAGGACCTGCGTGCTGCTGTAAATTGTGTGCTGTCGGCAAGACCCGTTTCCAGTGCTCAAAGGCCCAGCTGAGCTTACCTTTACCCACCTTTAACTTTGTGGTCGTTCTCTGCTCACCACCAAGGACCTGCGTGCTGCTCTTGACTGTGTGCTGTCGGCAAGACCCGTTTCCAGTGCTCAAAGGCCCAGGTGAGCTTGCCTTTACCCACTCAAAGCCTTGACTTTGGGGTCGTTCTCTGCTCACCAGCAAGGACCCCCATCTGAGCTGGCATACCACTGCCAGCTGGACGACTCCCGTCCCTCCAACGGCCGCCAGGTCACCGGGAAGGACTTGCGTGCTGCCCTAGACTGCGTGCTGTCCGCTCGACCGGTCCCCAGCGGTCAGAAGCCCAGGTAAGGTTGCCTTTACCCAGTCACAGGCACGCCAGTCCCCCAAAGGTGATGCCTGCCCCCAAGGAGGCAGGCCAGTCGCCAGCGATCAAAAGCCGAGGTGAGGTTCTCGATGGCAATACGGACTAGGGTCTAGAACCCCAACGGTTACCCGGTTACCAGCTAGGATCCCTGCAAGGCTCTGGGTTGGACGTGCTTTCTGGAAAGCCGGTCCCCAGCGGTCAGAGGCCCAGGTGGGTTTCACTGCTTGCCTACCGGTCGGAGTCGTCCCATTGGTCATAGTTTCGAAACGTCTCAAAACTTGATTATTCTGAGGCGCCTCAAAACACAGGCTCAAAACACGTTCTCTCGACTGTGTGCTCTCTGCGTGACCTGTCCCCAGCGCTTAGAAGCCCAGGTAAGGCATTATTTACTAGATGGGGGTCTAATCTAAATTCCCATGTGGTTGTTCGTGGTTACCCTTCTTTGGCTGACTCGATTGCAAAAACCCTGCTTGATTGTTCTGCAATACCATCTTTTGTTTCCCTGACTATCCTTCATCGTCTTTGTGCAGCATCGGCTGCAACATAAAGTGGGCGCCCGGGAATGAGCCTGACTACTTTGGATAGATTATTCATAAAGCTTATTGACTCACTGTAGTGAGAGGCTCACTGTAAGGCTCGTGAGTCACAACAGGCTACCAAAGTAATGAGCTGGACCAGCCAACATAAGTACTTAGCGCAAGAGCAGAGCTTGGCTTGACGCAGTTTTGTTCAATGTGCGAGTACGGACAAAACACCGTGTTATACGTTTTGCTTCTCTTGAGTGTAGCGTGAGATTATACAAGGGACTGTTGTTGACTGTCCCAATCATGTGTGCATATAGATGAACCAGTAATGCAATGCAGTCCTAGTTGTTTCAACTTCGTCTGGTGCGTTGCTTGATATGCCATCTTTCCCAGATTCTTGGAAGCTTGATGCTTCCTAGAGTGGAAAGAACACGACTTGAGAGTCGGGCTCGGCTCGGACGCACTTAATCATGTAAAACAGATGTTTAGAGTCGACAATCACTGATCGACTGGAGTAGAGGTAGAGGGTAGCGGGTGCATGAGTCTACTCGCAGGTTGAGCAGGCAGCTCCGATGGGACTTGGAAGAGATTAATCGTCGAAAGTGGAGGGAGGGAGTGGCCACTGGCGTCTCAAGCAATGCACTCGTGCCACTGCTGCCATGTAGTCTGATGATCTGCAAGGAACAGGGTGAATGAAGAGGACAGAGAGAGGGGAAGGAGGGAAGAAGGCACTCGAGCAGTGCAAGGGTGAGGTGGGTTTGCCACCTCTGGCTTCTCAAGCAATGCACTCGTGCCACTGCTGCCATGTAGCCTGACGATCTGTGATGGAACAGGGTGAATGAAGAGGACAGGGAAAGGGGAAGGAGGCTGGAAGGGTAAGCAGAGTTTCCCACTGGCGTCTCAAGCAATGCACTCGTGCCACTGCTGCCATGTAGCCTGACGATCTGTGATGGAACAGGGTGAGGGAAGAGAAGGACGAGGAGAGGTGAAAGAGGGAGGAAGGGTAGAGCAATGTTCGACACTGCTGTTGCAACAATGCACTCGCGTCACTGCTGCCATGTAGTCAGACAACCCGTGCTGGACGGGTTGAATCTCTTTTGAGAATCCTCAAAAGCGACTCTCGTGGATGGGTTGAACGAGGAGGAGGAGGGGGAAACAGACGAAGGTGGAACGAAGGCATTAGAGCAGTGCAAGCAAGGAGCCACGTGTAGATAGGTTATTTTTGAGACGTCTCAAAAACAACCTATCTACACGAAGGCGCTAGAGCAGTGCAAGCAAGGGAAAAGAAAAAGCAGGATTTGCGACTGGCGTCTCAAACAATGCGCTGGCACCACTGCTGCCATGTAGTTAGACGATCAGCTTGGGAACTGTTGAGGGAAGGAGTGGAACGGTATCATCATGTCATGCGCCATTGCAACAAGGTGAGTTTTGGGTTGATGAGTTGAGAGGGCAATGCCACTGCTGCCATGCCATCAGGCAGTTTGTGTGGAATGGGGTGAGTGGGGTTTCGCAACCGGCAGTGCAAGGCAGGTGAGTGGAGTTTCGCAACCAAGGTAAATGGGTTACCTGCAGGCGTATTCCGTGGCAGCTGCTGATTGGATGTACTTCCGACTTGTGGCCTCATCCCCCTGAAGGGCCAGTGGGAGAAGGAGAGAGTTGAGAGTGAGTACGAGAGTGAGTGAGTGCGTGTGTGTGGGGGAGGGAGTCGTAGAGTGAGGGAGAGGCCAAATACATGCTGGGCATGAGCCCATGGATACGCGGGCACATGCACACATAAGCACATGCATACATAAGCACATGCACACATAAGCACATGCACACATAAGCACATGCACACATGGGTACCTGCACACATATGTACATGCGCACATGGGTACATGCACACATGGGAACATGCACACGTGGGTACAGGCACACATGGGTACATGCACACATGGGCACATGCACAAATGGGCACATACAAACGAAGTTCACAAGCTGTCATGACTGTTAGACCTACAATAATTGTTAGACTCGAAACATCCTTATGACATGAACAGTACCATGATTTCAAAGAAGAGGCCAGCACATAACCGAGCATAGAAGGCTATCTGTGAGGCGCCTAAAATATCACCTTTTGAGGCGCCTAAAAAATCACCTTTTGAGGCGCCTGAAAAATCACCTTTTGAGGCGCCTAAAATATCACCTTTTGAGGCGCCTAAAAAATCACCTTTTGAGGCGCCTAAAAAATCACCCTTTGAGGCGCCTAAAATATCACTTTTGAGGCGCCTAGAATATCACCTTTTGAGGCGCCTAAGAAATCACGTTTTGAGGCGCCTAAAAAAACACCTTTTGAGGCGCCTAAAAAATCACCTTTCGAGGCGCCTAAAAAATCACCTTCTGAGGCGCCTCAAAAAACAGTACCATGATTTCAAAGAAGAGGCCGACGTATAACCGAGCATAGAAGGCTGATGACCCACCCTCGTCATCCCCTGCTGCTGCCAACACCTGTGTCTCCACATGCCATGCCATCAGTTCCATTTGGTTCCATACCATGCCATGCCATGCCATCCGCATCATGTCATGTCCAGTACCACGCCATGGCACTCCATTTGCCATGCCACGCCCCATATGTGTGTGAACGCTGGATTGAGAACACTGTAACGTGGCATGTAAGCGTCTACCACTTAGAGTGCGGAGGAATGGAGGAAGAAGCAAGTGCGAGGTGAGACATGAGTGGGAAGTGTGGAGGTGGGGAGGTGGGAGGGGTGCGAGAGGAAGGGACCAGAGAGATCAGCCTCAAGGGATTAGCTGCACTGCGCGAGATTACCTGCAAGGTGAAGCAGGAGCGAGGTGAGTCACGAGTGGGAGGTGGGGAGGTGGGAGGGGTGCGAGAGGGAGGGACCAGAGAGATCAGCCTCAAGGGATTAGTTGCACTGCACGAGATTACCTGCAAGGGGTCAGCTCCCGTTTTGAACATGTCATACGCTGCTCGTAGCACCTTCCCTGGGTCTCGAGGCACCTGAGCAAGGGGAGCAGGAAGAGTGTGTGGCGAGATGATGGGATAGGCAGCTGAGAGTCCCCACCCAAGTAAAGCAAGACGGGTTTCGAGACGTCTTGAATCCTTACACGTCCCAGAACATAGGCGTGTGAAGACAGGACTGGGAAAATAATTTTGCCCAGTCAAATGAAGTGGCTGAAAATAAGCAGTTGAGAAAAGTAGAGAAAGACGAGGGGAAAAGCCACCTCTAGCGATTTTCTGCACCTGGTTGACTTCTGAGGCACTTTCATGACTTTTGAGGCACTTTTGCGACTTTTGAGGCACTTTTACGACTTTTGAGGCACTTTTACGACTGTTGATGCACTTTTACGACTTTTGAGGCACTTTTGCGACTTTGGAGGCACTTTTGCGACTTTTGAGGCACTTTTGCGACTTTTGAGGCGCCTGGAAGAAACCGATTTCCTATCAAGTGAGATACCCACCTCTAGCATGCTTTCTCAGGCTGAGTCCACACCATTCGCCCTGGCCTCTTAAACAGAGACGACTTTGAGGCGACTGAAAGCTATGTATATATATAGTTATATATATAGATATATGTGTACTTATCATGAAAGACACGTGGGACACCCACCTCTGGCATGCTTTCTTGGGCTGAGTCCACACCATTTGCCCTGGCCTCAGAGACAAAGCACCAGATGGACTGGCGGGAAGGGCAACAGAAGAGAACAGGTTTGACAAAAAGCATTAGCCACTCGAAGTACAAAACGCCAGACAATCCACAATACAAAGCACCAGACATCTTGCAAATCAAAGCAGTAAGGACTGGCAAGAAGGGAAGGGGGAGAGTGCGAAGGTGGAAGTAAGGGGAAGGGCATGGGCACTGGCATGTGCATGGGTACGGTCTTGGGCATGAGAATTTGCATGGGACAAACAGTTGCTTGGAACAATAGGTGCTTCTGAAACTGAGGAGATTTACTGAAGCTGTTCTTCTCACCTCTTCAGCGTCTCTTGAGTTTGCTGCAATGCAGGCACGAAACTGCTGCGAAGCTTCTGCAAATCTGACACACCAAGGCAGGAGAATATGGGAACGTTGAGAAGGCATACAACTTAGTCTCTTGAGAAAACCGTGGAAAGGGGAAATTTGTCTTGTCGGAAATCCAGTGTCATGACAAATGGATAAACGAGCAAAAGGTGACATTCAGTGCAGACAGCACAGCACACACCAGCCATACACAGGCAACCGAGACAAACCTATTGAGGTAGAAAAGCGAAAGTCCTTTCTGCCATAGGTCTGCTTGGCAGAGGACGGCATGGCATGAACCATTGTATGTAGACCCATGCCAGCACACGCCAGTCACAAGTATTCTATATTAGGACGGACCTGTTGAGGTAGAAGAGCGAAAGTCCTCTCTGCCATAGATCTGCTTGGCAGTGGTTGGGATGGAAAGAGGAAAGCCGGGCAGTATCAGTACACACACAAACGAGCCGCTACATGATCGAGAATTGAGGCGTCTCAAAGGAGAATGGTATAGTAAGTCAATAATTGGCATGATTTTGCTCGTGAAGCCTCGGCCTTTTACAGAAGCTACGTAAGGGGATTGGAAAGAGGTCGAGCATCAAAACGCCCATGAATCCAGGTAAGTGAATTGTAAGTCGGCTTCGAAGTGAGCACGCCTTTCAGAGGACGGTCGCTTACAGGGGATTTGGGAGGGGTCGAGCTCCAATGCAGCCTCGAATTCATCTAGTGACTCCTCCACCTCGTTCTGCTATCATGCCATGACACGCCATCCGCGTGATACCACGCCATGCAGTGCCATGCCATGTCATGCCATGCCATGCCATGGGATGTCATGCCGTGCCATTTCATGCCATGCCATGCCATGGGATGTCATGCCGTGCCATTTCGTGCCATGGCATAACATGGGATAGCATGCCATGTGTGCCGTGCCACACTATGTTGTACCATGGTTGTGCCAGGCCATGTGATGCCACAATCGAGGGGAAGACGGGAAGATAGGTTGGGGAAAGACGGGCACATAATGGTATAATGAGCAAAGTGGCAGAGAGATGGAAGAGATTGA